TTTCATTTCTGAAATCATAATAATTAAAAGACGACTAGCGCGAGTCATGACAAAAAATTTAAGAAAATAAAATACAAAAAAAATTCTTAAAAACTTATTCGGTCATTCATATAATTGTAAATAATTATTATTAAATAATATTAGCGATTAATTACGATCTATGTCAACAGTACTGTTAAAATGAAACGAAATTGTTTAATTAGCGTGCTTTATATGCGTTTCTTCGTTAATATACAGTATCGAATGATATACAATATATTTTACAATGAGACTAAAAGAGCATTCGCACATCTTCACGCAAAGCTGTGATCTGACGATGCAAACGCAATGATGGAAACATCGCTCACGAGATAACACTCGCTGACTTTGCCGTATCAATAGCAACGCAAATGGATTCGTATCAAATACTCGAATGACGACTCAAAACGTTCGTCGCAGGACTTGGCAGTGTACTCTACTTTTATAAATTAACACGTGATTAAACGGCTCTTCCATCCCATCCCTCCCACATACATACTCTATCGTAAAAACATATCTTGTCCACATTGATTACGTTTACACGGCTCGATTTACGCCAAAGTTATAACATCGATGTTACAACCTCGGCGTAAATCGAGTCGTGTAAACGTAGACGACAGTTGATTTTTTTTTTTACTTAATAAACAATTTTTGATTTACAAAATTACGAATGAGCCATTTTCCTTCGAGTGCAAAATTTCTCACGTGCAATATATATCGTCCCCCCCCCTCCTCCCTCTCCCCGAGATGCTCGATATATAACGTACAAGTGCCAACAGTAATATCACTTCCACGTATTTAAATATTTATCAAATCACGTTACTTATCCTACGGCCGCAATGTGACGCACAATTCAACAACGCTAAAAAGACTTATATTGGTGAGAGATTTTATTTTAGCTTATGGGTCTACATCTAGAGTACTTAGGATAAGTACCTTCTAGCCCTTCCTCGACTCCAACTTCTCTGTGCTCCGCCTTTCGACACCGATCGATATCGATGTGACGACAAAAATATGAATGCTCGCAAGAATGCGATTATCGGTTCGGCATTTATTCGGGTTGCCGAATAATATGTGAAAAAATTCCAAAAACAAAAATTACGTCATTCAGCGATAGATTACAGACTGTAACGTGCGAAACGAATTCGCCTTACAATATTCTCGTTGCAAGAATTCAGAATAATAGACAGGATTAGTTCGCCAACTTATCGTTATTTATGATTACGCCTGTCACATCCCACGTGTAGCTTGATTAATGGTATACGAAATAAGATATCAAGAGACGTTCCTTAGAGGGGATGTTTCAATGATTACAGATTTCTGGAAGCAGAAATACTGCCTGCCGAGATTCCAGATTCTCGCGTCGCATTCTTGTTTATTCAATAGTGATCAACCGCATCGTTAACACGCGCGATAAATGTATCCCAAGTTATTAAAGGCCAGCCAAAATAATTCTAGGATCTTCCACAGCGTCTTTGATCTTCCTCAGGAACATCACAGCCTCACGTCCATCAATCAGCCGATGATCATACGTCAAAGCTATATACATCATTGGCCGAATTTTAACCTGAGAATACAAATGTTTGTAAGCAATTTTACAATGCAATTATGAATTTCATAGTTTAAATTAAAGATTTTAATGAAAAGATAAAAAAAATTAGGAAATTAAAGACTCTTAATGCGCCTATTAGTGAACTTTACCTCTCCCTTAATGGCGATAGGTCTGTCAAAAACGCCGTGCATACCAAGAATCGCGCTCTGCGGTGGATTGATAATTGGAGTTCCCAGCATCGAGCCAAAAACGCCACCGTTGCTTATCGTAAAAGTACCGCCATCCATATCCTCGATGGTAATCTTTCCTTTTCTAGCCTTTTCACCCAAAGCAGCCAAAGCGATTTCAATTTCGGCGAAATTTTTATTTTCTACGCTGCGAAGTACGGGCACGACAAGTCCCTTCGGCGTCGCGACTGCCACACTAATATCTACGTAATCTCTATATACTACATCGGTGCCATCTATCACGGCATTCACCACGGGTTGGTCTTTTAGAGCATAGGCACTGGCCATGACAAATGGACTCATAAACCCGAGCTTGATGCCGTACTTTTTCGTAAACGATTCTTGATGCATCTTCCGGAACTCGATAATGCGACTGCAAATTAATAATGACATTTATGATTAAATGAAAGATAAAGAGTACAAACTAGGGCTGATGATTTAGACAGGGTAATGATATACTAATCTCAATAATGCCTAATAACATTTTATATAGATATATATAGTATTTCTAAATATAATTTTCAGTTAAAAATTATTATATACTGTTCACTATCGGATTTGAAACGCAATCATAAATTGGAATTAAAAATATCAAAAGTGATCGATCAATAAATTAATGCCTTTGTTGTGATCGATTTATCTCAAAGGAATTTTGATTCAACGTAATTCAATTTATATTCTTAAAGTAATCGTTAATTTTTAATAATGATGATCCAATTTCTTGAAACAAGCTCTTAGAACTTGTTCTGTCTAAGATTCTGAAAATAAATTAATTTGCACTCGTATGTACAAATATCCATATTTTTACACAGAAAGAATGGATTTACTGAAATATCTGCAAATTTGATGCGACTAGAAGATACAATTTTCTTAAATTGCACACCGTTTTCTACCGGATTTGACGCAATTAAATTAAAATTAGAATTTGAACTAAAATTAAAAATATTGTTAAATTAAGTTGGTCATTAATTTTTAATAATTCTAAATATATTAATTTTAAAAAATCTTTAAATACATACCGTTTATTTGCTACAATAGCAAAAATAATTAAAAAATTATCATAAATAATTTAAAAAACAAAAAGGAACAGAAAAAAAAACATATTACATATTACACTTCAAATGAACATATCGTTCTTCTATAATCAATTATTACTAAAATTCCATTTTTTAATTAACATTATAAAATTTTAATGTGATTCAAAATATTCAAACTTGTTTTCTGGAAAATTTTGTTTTTAGTTGTATTGCTGGTGTAATAAATGAGCGATAAATACATATGAAATATAGAGTATTGTAGAGAGTTTCCTAGCGAGACACAATTAACGAAGTTATTAACACAGTAAATCATTTTTGTTGTTAAACAAGAATTCAATGGGTGGATTCAGCAACTGCTCGCTAAGCGCTCAGCATACATTTTGTGTGTGTGTATTTTACACTGTATGTGATTTTTATATTAAGCGATAATACTTGAAATTACCTCATGTCAATTTCATTAAACGTGGTCAGCATAGCGTTCGTATTCTGCGCGTCCTTCAGACGTTCCGCAATACGTAGACGCATTCTATTCATTTTCACTCGCTGTTCTGTCCTGGTGCCAATTATTTCGCGCGTATAATCGATAGGAGGTAGCTGAACTTTTGCGCTTTCCAACGACTAAAAAAAGTACATCATTTTCATAATATTTTCAAATTGTATAATAACTAATGCATAATAATAACTGATATTTACCTGAGCATGTTTAATAGCCGCAACTGGCATGGATGCAGTAGGTGCTTGTGGAGGTGGTGGTTCAGTGGCGGGAGGTGGGATCGGCGCTGCGGACAATGGAGGTGCCACACTTGGGGCCGATGGTGTCGGAGGAGGTGCAGGAGGCACAGGTTTCGGTGCCTTTTCCGCCGGCGCGGCCGCAGGAGGTTTCGGCGTTTTCTCTGCAGGTGTGACAGTAACACCGCCGGTTGCACCGATGTCGATAGTGCACAACTTCTGTCCCGGCTTTACAGTATCGCCATCCTTAACGAACAGCTCCTTTATGACACCGGGCCCGGGCGACGGTACAGGAACAGAAGTCTGTGGGCAAGCGCGATTAAATTTCGAATAGTTTGTAATATCCCTCGTAATAATCGCGATTATTCCTACTTCGTGTTACGTTCATTCTACAATTGCATAAGAGTAGTTGTGATTGCTCAGCGTCAATTTATAAAAATTAACCGAACTATAACCGAATATTCTCCTTATATTCGATTGTGATTCGATGACGTCAATTCTTACAACTACAAGCACTTGCAACTACACTTATAAGCAATTATAAAACAGGCTTTACACAATTGTAGAATGGTTTTTACAAACGAAAGAAACAAGAAACGTCCTAGATGCTTGCCTTGTCCGTTTCGATCTCGCAGAGGACATCGTCTTCCTTTACTTGGTCGCCTACCTTCTTCTCCCATCTCACGTCGCCCTCGCTTACACTTTCGGCAAACGCAGGAACTACAACTTCCCTGATCTCCCCTGTTTAGATAACACAAATTATGTGCGATTAAATTAACTGTTACGTCTTTACATAAGATGTCGTACTTACATAGTGCTGAAGTTGAACGTATATGTCTCGCTTGATTTATCCAATAGTGATTTGCCTTGTACTTTCTACATCTGGATGCAAAAAAGAATGCTGTAACCTTTAATCCTTCTACATGTACTTTCATCTTCTGCATAGCGATTGTATGAACTCATATGAACTTTTTCCCATAGGATAGAAATATGAGAAGAAAATTTTTAACATTGAAGTTAATGAAGAAATTTTTTATTTTCGACGTTTTCATCTTAGGGAAAAAGTTATAAGAAAAGAAAAAGATATATTAGCTCGCCATCCTGCTTCTAGAGGCTCAATTGAATAACTTTTTCTATAGAGAGAAGTAGAATCTTGAAAAATAAAATCTTTTTGAACATATATACAATACATATGTTGTACTATGTGAATATATATACATGCATTTATACATAAAAATTTTCACTTTTGACTTAAAAAATTTTCATGTTTTTACTCTAAAGAAATGTTTGCATAAATACTGGAGAATTGAAAGTAATTAGCTCAACAACAAAAAAACTATATATGTAATTCCTAGCGTATAAATTATTAAACTTCTATATATTGGTGACATAAAAGTAATAAGATAGGTAAGATAAAAAATAAATACATGCAGACACAAGTCGCAAAATAATACTACTTACAACAGAGCTTTGGC